AAAAAACCAGGAGAAAGGACGGATTTTTGTGGGACTCCTCTAGGCGCTGTTTTGCTGGAAGAATCAGTATCACTGGTTCCAACTTGGAAAGTTCGATTTTGTAGAAAATTGAATATCCAGAACTTCCAACATATGTATTTCAGTGAATCTACCTTGAATAAAATAATGTTGATTATAAGGGTTAATAGAATATGAGTCTAGATGGAGAACAATGTGGTTTTTTGGGAATAGGTACCACAAAGAAAAGTTTCCAGCGTTGCGAGATTTCAGCAGTCATGAAACTCAAGTTAAAAATCAGTGAACGGGGATAAGAAATGAGAGGTGCTATTGCCTTAAGAAACGGAAGAGGAATGTCATCCGGCGTTGTTGAAAGTGTCAGAAGGCCAGTGCACCAAAATATCTTCGATCTCCTCTTAAGATATCATAAACTAGGAGGCATCAGTGGAAAGCTGGGATGAATTTTCATAGTTGGGAAGTTTTTACGTACGGGAATAAAAAGAAGTCATTCGGTGTCGTAGACGTGTTTCAAAGCACAGCGATTGTATTTTTTGAGCAGTGCTTTCGATCAATCGACATGAGCCATTTTCTGAGTGATTGACAAATTGTGTGGGTCCGACGCAGCAAACAAATTTTTTCGACAGTCAAATGTTTATATGATCCTGCAAAGTTAGTTTGCGCACAACATCAATGGTTTCCGGAACAACTAGTGATTTCGGACTACCTCCAGGAAATTCGCCTTGGAGTGAACTACGACCTCGGTTGAATTCACCACACCATCGATAAACACTGACTTGATAGAGCTTCATCGCCTACACAAGAAAAAAATTAATCCATGTCGAGAGTTGTAAAAAATAATCCCACGAAAATTTTCACGATTCAATTTCATTCCAAACTGTTTGAGTGCGTGTGACCCCGAAAATGTCAAACTTGTCGATAGAACTGTAATGTGCCAGATTGCAACATTAGAGTTGCCAAACGCGGAAATATAAAAGGCAACCCTTGTAACACTACCCCATCTCTGCCCAATTATTCATTAAACTGCAATGTGTGATCACACAGTTGCATAGCTTGTCTTGATATGACTATTTTTTGCAAACAATGATGAGTAACATCTGATCACTCACCAATATCGTACCGGAAGTATTTTAGGCTGCATATCTCACAGCAGTAAACAAAAACAGCAATCCCCCTTCGGAATGCAAATTGGATAGTTTACGAAAAATCAGAAAGAAAAAATCATTATTTCAGCATATTCACCTGTACACGATTTTCCCACCCACTCACTCAGAGTGCAAGGAGATATCTTTCTGTGATTTCAATCCTCTCTTCGTATTAAAAGTAGACTCTATACTTTTGTGTTTAATGTGCACTTTTATGCCATCATAGAATACCTCAAATACTCGCACAAGGCTCTTGCACTATTTTAAATATCAGCTATAATTCATTCCAAAGTGTACACTGAATCCATGCTACACTAAGCCCTAATGAGATGTTTACCGGTTTATTTCGCTTCCTTACAAAATTATTAGGATATTTTCCATTTTCTATGAACTAATGTCATGGGATGTGTATTTTCAAAACTTCTGTTGTGTAGGTATATAAGCATTGCAGTCGCATCGTTGCATCAATCCTTTTATGAATGTTAACCCATCTACATAATGCCAATTATGTGCCAATATGCCTTCAAAACCAGCGAGATGTGAGATTTTAGTGGTTATCGAGTCATTCCTACGGCTAAGCATCAGCTGTGAGGCCGTCCTATTGAGGGGTAGGCAAAGACATCTGGTTTATCACTCCTCAGATTAGCTTGCAAGTAGTGGACCGTCAAAACCATGACCTATTCCTTTCTAATTTTCCTGTTCTTTGTGGATCTTATTTTCAGAAACTTGTTCATCATTACACTTGCAGAAAATTTCTTACTGACAAGGAAATAGATTAGAGTCCTTCATTATAGCATTCCAACATTGCCCTGTGAAACAACTCTTTTTAGAACATTTGTAATAAGCTTTCTTTGCAGAAAATGGAACCCTTATCATTGATCAACCTTCTAGCTCATGTAGTCCAGAACATATCTGGTACATTTGCTAACGGCCTTCTCATATTTTTGGTGCTAAGAAAAACTCCAAAATACCTGCAAACCTATTCTATTTTTATTCTGAACTTTGCTATCTGCGATTTTTTTGCTTGTGTTGCTGCTTTCTTTGCACAAGTCAGGTAAGCCACACTTTCGAGTGTCTTAATCCAGATTGAGCTCTTTGTTATCAGTGTATTTCTGTCATAGGCACGATTGAAAAGAACTTGATCTAGAGAGAAAAATAACAGACTGTACACTACGTACGTCCAATTTTCGTATAGTGCTATGATTGTCTGCTGAATACCCACTTCATTTTGCCAATCCTTTATGGTGCGTGTTGATAGAAGGCATACAACAGAGAAAGGGCTTATCATGGAACAGGCTGGCCCCGAAATCCTGCATAGCAGTGACTGTAGTTGACGTTCGTCATTCGTCACCACAGCTATCCTCGCACACTAGGACCGATGGCCCTTTAAACTCGGTAGTATGCCTCAAAACCGAACTTTCAAAGATTGAAGCCTCCTCAGAGTTGATGATTTTGCTTGTGCCACGAGGTTGTTAGGTGGGAATCTTCATTCTGGCCGACGTTTTGACGGGCTCGTCGTTTTCAAAGGCCTCACTTCCACACCGCGAAGTGTAGCGCTACGCTACACAGTTAGTACTTTAGTAGCCTTCCTAGAATTTCAAGTTCTATAATCTTGCTAGAACCTGAGGAGTCGTGGTGAGCAGTTTATCCATCTTGAAAAAGAATCAGCTAAAATCTGATTGTAGAATAAAGAACAGACCGAAAAACGCGAGTTTTCCTTTTCCGAACGAATTCAGGAATCCGTACGGTTGCTGCTATATATCGAAATTGAAAGCAGTAGTCGATATTTGTGACCAATATATTGTAGTTATCAAAAAGAACAAGAAAGCAAAGGAGAGACAGCTTGAAACCACTTTCTTCCCCAAAAAAATTGAATATATTTTCAGAATACTTTCCTCTGGTCCCGGTCTTTATTTTGTCTTCTATGGACCATGCTGCAAATTGTTTAGAACATGGATCTGTTTTGTCGGGTAAGTGCTAATAAAGTTCATAGTCATAAGGAATTGATTTTCGTCATCTTTCCCCTTCGAACAAGTCGATTAGTATTTCAGGTACAGTTTCATGTTGCACTGTTATTCTCATGGGTTGTGGAGTCTCTTGGCTTCGTTTTCCTATCGGTATTACATCTTAGGACATTCTCAACCAAAACGCATCACTGTTATAATAATTGTGCTTGTGATATACTCTCCATCATTCCTTCAGCTTGTAAGTTTTGAGAGCTATTTTGTGAGGAACATTTGGCGAACCATATGAACACATGAACATGAACAACAACCATATGAACACATGAACAACAATGCAACTTCTTAGGTATTGTCGATCGCATCAGTGAAAAGAGAAAAAATCGAGAGTCAAAGTGCGAGCAACGAAGCTAAAGTCCATTTCACTAATTAATATTCTATTTTCTAGTTCCCACGCACCTAAACCCCGAAAATCCTACCACGTGTTCTTTGAGAGCAAGAAACCGCAATATCTGGTTAATGCAAGTTTTTCCGAGGTACTGTTCATTGATTAAAAGGCATGGAATCGCGGAATAATCTGAGCCTCGACACTTCTCTGTCGCAGCCCGAGTAACAGAAATCACCCCAAATTATTGAACATGGAAATGGTGAAAAATAGATTGACGCACAAAGCGCTCCCACCGATCAACGTAAACTCTTGACGCGGAGCTTGACGCTTTGAGACGCTCTCCGGTCGTCAATACACATCCCACAGGTCGACGTTCGGTTTTTTCTGAACGAGTCTTCCAAGAATTTCATGCTCCTGTTGTACTACGCCCTTTTTTTCGTATAAACTTGCATTATTTGCGTTATCTGTTGGGTTGTTTTCATTCGGCACGATCTTGTTCCTCATCATATTACATCCCTATTTTCGGTAACCTCCAAAATTTAATGCTAGACGGCTTCAAAAACAGATCAGGGAAGAAGAAAAGAATCTCAATCCTTCTACGTCACCACTGCTCTGTACTTAGGATTGTCTACATTTTTTCACCTCTTCGCTGCTGCTTCACGTTATTTCCCTTTTTGCAGCATAGCTGTGCACAGTTCAGTCTTGAACATAACCTTTATGCTGAGGTCTTAAGCAGCGGCTCATTCGATCTACGATCGCTCAGCGCGGCCTGTTTAAGCAAGAGACGCTTGGCACTCGACTCTTCTGCATCGATGACGTTTGACGCCGAAATGTGGAAGCTCCACAGAGTGATACCAACAGCATCTGGATCTTTCGGTGGTGGAGTCGTTGGTTATAAATTGCAGTACATATATCATGCTGTGCGGTTGGCGGGTATCGAAGCACGATAATCTTTGCTGCACTTTAAACCGCTCGCATGCTCTCCAACTCGGGGGGGGGGGGGGGGGGGGGGGGAAGGGGTGGCGAAAAAAGAAGTGGTTCGTTTGAATGAAGGAGGTGAAGCTAACCAGAAAACAGGTTCCAGATGTTTCTTGTGTTACATTTTATATTTTCCCTTTCTACTTGTCTGTTCAAATTTGTTCTTCCGTTTTTATGTTGCTGCTGTAATTATTGCCATCCGACACAGCTTGTTTTTGTCATTCACTTCTCAATCAGGATGAAATCTTTTGAATTTCATCGAAATATCGATCAAAAATCGGATCAGTCAAAAAATCAGGAAACAGCTCTATGCAGCAACATTCTGGACAATCAATGTAATGATAAATGGTGACGAGTAAAGAAGCCAAATGTACAAAGAGCGCATAATTTTGATATGAACTATCATACTGAAGGATATCGCTTAACTGCGCTCAGCGAATTTGTGCGTCGCGTGCCCGTCGAAGGTTGCTGTGATCCAATAGTAACGGTAACAACACCTCTTGGTTATGTGAATCCTCCATTTTGGATTTATAATCAACCGCTCATAGGCAGAACGGAAATTCATTCAGTGTGTATTCACCTCATGCTGAATTATTCATGCTTTCAGACAGCCGTTTCTCTTGCCAAAGACCTTGAAACTGGGATAAAGGCAATAATAAATAAAAGATTTGGCTACAACGTGGCCTCAGAGTGCGTGTGCGGCCATGTGAATATATTTACGTGGAACATACTTCCCTTCATTCTGCATATGACACTACCTATTGCTCCTGTTTATATTGTCATCCTTATTCTCAGAAAAATGACTGTTTCGAGACTGAAGAGCGAATTAGCCATATCCGAGCACTTCCGGCGTCAACAAACACGGTTGCTTCAGGTAAATTCTTCTTATTTTTGTTTGCTTGTTAGCTTATCGAACATCTTTGGAGGTCAGATATCCGGGGTGGATAGCATTCATTGATCACTTAATGCAGTTTTGAAGCATCCGGAGCTGTTACAGCAAAGCCTTCCTCCCTTCATTCGCTGAACGGTTTGCAAAATGTCACTTTAGAGATGTGATGCTTTCTCGTGTCTCAGAAAAATTGGCTAGTTAGACGCCATGTATGGATCGATTCGAATAGTTGCAGTGCAGCTTCAAGGGGTTATTACGGTTGAAAATTCACCTCACGCGTTAAGAGTTCGAGTGAAAGTCGCACCATCCCTTCCTCACGATTTGTTCATTGCAATTCTTTTACCTCGAGTAATTTTTGTAGTTGTATGAATGAAAATAAATGGAAAGTTCCTATCACGGCACTACACTGGATGGTGGAAGCAGAAAAGAGCCTAAAAGGCACTATCAGAATGTAAAATCGAAGCTTGTCTCTCTTCAATAAATCGTACATAAGAATTCAGACTTGACTAGAGGCAATCTGATCGTTGTGCGAAGTAATTAAATTCTCTGAAGTAGGAGAGTAACTATTTCATAATCTTTTCCATGCCCTAGCCATCTCATACAGGCAGTCACACCTAGTGGATGTTGCGATCGCTCTTGGATAGTAATTTATCCTCAAAGCATCAAAGAACAATACCATCAAAGAACAATACCCAACCAAACAAAAGTGGAAGTGAAGGTTTCAGTGAAATATGTGTATAAGATACAGAAGAGAGATCTTCAGAGAGCAAGTGCTGATAATGCCGGATAAGTCAGGGCATCGCCTCAGGGTGGTTAGACAGAACTCGAGCGTCCTCGGCGTTCTGGAATCCTGATGGTCGG